CTTTTTCTTCTTTGGATCTATAGGAATTCCTTCTTGGAACCCTCCAATTTTCCGGAACTTCATCATGCGATGCTTTAATAATGCTTCTGTGTCCAACTTATGGAGCTCCTGAACGAAACCAAAGACATAAGTTCGGATATGATAGCTTAAATTTAGTTTTTGTGGAAGAGAAGTCACTTACATCCATTTCTTTGTTAATTGCATTTTTTATCTGTTGAGAGGTCCAAGCAGGATCCGCATGTGCGCCACCAAGCGGCTCCTGTCAAAGGGGATAAAATTGAATCTTAGCTGCCACATTAGCAACACTGAACACTAACAAAGAGATAATGTGCATTCAGGGAATGTTCTTTCTTGGAATGTCAACGTTTCCCATGAGACAGGGTGAGCTTGGATAATGAAACAAAGAAAAAAAAAGTTTATGCCAGATTGGCAAAATCGAACAAAGTTAAAGATTAACAAGAAAAAAAAAATCATAGCTGGGAATGACCATTTCTAATATATCAATGATTCCAATGACAAGGACGTGTTTGATAAAGGAACCATGGAATATTATCAAGCACACCCCAAGGAGCACCGCAGAAATATTTGAAACAACAACGTCATCAAGCTACATTATTTCTTCGACATATCCTCATTCTTAAAACAAAGACACATATAGAAAGCTAAAATGGTAGGATTGCAAAACATACAGGGATGATGCCATCTGCAATTTGCAGCTTGCACAACTCAGTTGCAGTAATTTTCAACTTCTCAGCAGCCTGCAGAAAAAAACAAATGAAGTTTTAATAGTCTATGATCAACTAATCAAATAAAGACTAAGCCAATAGTAAATGTCGCATAGACCTTTGGAGAAGCTTTAGAACTCTTCCACAAGATTGCTGCACAAGCTTCTGGACTAAAAACAAGAAGAAAGGAGAAAACCCAAAGAAAACAATAAATTAGTTTTATGCTTAACTGAATAGAAAAGGGAAAACAAGCCTGAAGGTAATCACTGATCTACTCGTATATAGAACTCAATATTCTGAACTAATGACCAGAAAAGAATGGAATTAATCTGGATATATGGCAGGCCTAGAGTCTCTGCCTCCTTCTAGGGAAGTGACCCCTTTAGAGATATATCTTACAAAGTTAATATACTAGTACACCGCCACATGAGAATCATCTCGTCACTCAAACAATGAAGAAAAGATGAGCACATTTCCATTTGAACAATTTCTCTAAGATATTGAACAAGACAACGCCAAATCCAAATTACCTGGCAACATAGAAGACTGCATTTTCAAGCATTAACAATTTATTAGCACAGCCAATGGCAAGGGCACCACCAGAGCCACCTTCTCCAATGACAATAGAGACAATAGGTACTTTCAGACCAAACATAGTCCGCAAGTTGTGAGCTATGGCTTCACCCTGAATGTTTGTAACACAAACAAATTAGGTGACCCAATACAAAATCTAAATAAGAACCATGTGAAATTTAAGTTACAGCTACAACATACTTGGCCCAGTTCCTCAGATTTAAGGTCTGCATATGCACCAGGGGTATCGATGAAAGTAATAATTGGGAAACCATGGTGATCTGCATAATACATCATGCGCATAGCTTTCCGGTAACTGCATGGATAGTGTTCCAATATTATTATTTTTCAAGTAATATTACACGAAAGCTAATCTTATATCTTCTATCTTATTAAATGCACAAGTATCTATCACTTTGCGTACCCGTGAGGAGTAGGCATCCCAAAGTTACGCATAATGTTCTCCTTCGTATTTCTACCTTTCTGGTGACCCATGAACATATACCTTCTACCATCTATTGTTCCTATACCAGTGACAATAGCAGGATCATCGTACCCTGCTCGGTCTCCATGAAGCTCCACAAACTGTACATATTAAACTAAAGAAACCATTTAGTGTGCAATTATTTCCACCACCAATAAACCCACTAATTGACTCCCTTTCTCCAAAAAGGGAAATAAAGGATCAAATAGACAATACGCACAAACTCCATAAGTATGTAAAGAAATCAGTATCAGACCTTATCAGTAATGCTAAACACATGGTCAAGGAAAGTTGGCCTGTTAGGATGTCGTGCAATATTCACACGTTGTATAGGAGTGAGATTCGTATATAAATCCTTTAAAGCCTGAAACCAAAAGATAAGTCCAGAGAAAACTTGAGAACCAGAAACTGAACGAGAACCAAAATCTGTACATTAGCTACTAATTCTCTAACCGAACAAGAACCATGCATTTATTCATCAAACCTGGTTGTATTTATTCTCCAATGAAATAATTTGATCACTGAAGTCCAGCCCAGTTTCGTTTGCCATCTTCCGCACCTGTGATCAATAAATGTCTCAGTAAAAAACACTTCCAAAGCATGACAAATTCCCAAACAAAAAAATAAACTTAAACCAGCAAGAAGGCTTACATCAATGATCTTCTTTTCGATATCAACAAGCGGCTTTTCGAACGGCAAAGTAACCGGCTTGGGCTTCTCCTTCAATGGTTTGAAGTGAGAGAGATGAGTGAGCACTCCACCTTTGACATTGGGATCCGGATCCTCGGGCCAGGGGTACTCATGCTTCTTAACCTTCCTGAGCTTGGCGGCCACCACAAGGTTCCTCCTCATGCCCAACCTTACCTTCCCTAGGGCTCTCAACGGAACACCGCTGACACCATTACTGGAGCTCCGGAAAAGATCCGAAGCGGTGCTTGTTCCGGCGAACGCCAGTGGAGAATGAGATATCGAAGCCATTCTCCGGACCCGAAGGCTAATTCCTCCAAATTACACACTAATCTCGCAAATCAGATCACCGACTCCCAATTCCAGCTCCGAAATTGTGAATCTACACAAAAAACGCCAATCAGATTATCCAAGCAATTTCTATGGTAGCTTCTAATTAGCAGCTCCCAACCGCCCGCTAAAACAAAAATCCAAATAATTAAACTCAAAAACTTAAACATCGAACTAATTGAGCTGATTTTCCACGATTCTAACAGCAAGATACAAACTTTCTCCCCCAAATCACAATCTTTCCTCCATTTTCTAGCAATCAAGCAGAAAAAATAATCGAAAACAAAATAAGCGAACCAAATATTCAACATGTATGAAACAAAAAAACCTAATTCGCGGGTCCCAATCGAGAAACGAATCAGATTCTTTCTAGAGCTTGTGAGACATGAAAGGAGAGCCGAAATTTTCTCGGGAAAATTTGAACTTTACCGGAAAGTAGCGGATTGGAGATGGCGCGGAGAGAGGAGGATCTGAAAGAGAATGGGGGCGGGGAGAGATGAATGAGTGTTATTATCGGCAATGCGGGGGAGGAGAGAGATGGAGGAGAGAGAAATGGCGCTTCGTGGAGATCGCCAAGGAGAGCGACGCAGTTTTTGTTGGGGTTTTCTTAAGAGCCGAGTGTGTGTGAGTTGGGCGATACTTCTTATGACTTCCGAGTTGACTCAGTGGGGGAGGGGAAAGGGGGGGGGCCTGGTTCGAACGAGTTAGGATGGATGGAGAGGAGTCAAGGGATATGGATGGAGCCTTTGGTTCTTCGTCCAGGCACGCGTGTGTTTTCTCTTTTCTGGCTCTGGCGCACGTGACTTGGGCTCGATGCCCTCGATGTTCAATCTCATAGGGGTACACTCCTAAACTCTTTTATTTAACTAATTAATCCCCTTAATTCAAGAATCATTAGTGGACGGTACAATGGATACGTGAATGAATCTATTGCGCACACAAATAAAACTCTTTATAAAATTTCTGACATCATATAACTTAACGTTAATCTTCTTGACAATATTATAAAATAATATTTCAAAAGTACAAGATAACAAAAAATCTGTTTTGAGAGATGTCATTTCTCTTTTTGTAAATAATGGGCAATGCAGTGTTAGGTAATGAATCAATGCAGAAGTGCTTCCCATGCGAACATTCTTAAACCTACCCTAAATAGTGTAAAATTTCATAAAACAAAGACAGGAAGATGGAGCAGACAGTGCCGGCCCCTCCAAAATCCAAATTAATAGGAAATCCCGAAATGGAGTGACGTGAGTGGAAAATATTGGAAACTCCCTCTTAATTCTGATCATTGTTAGGTTATTAGGTTATCAGGTTGTTGGTTGGTAGACTGTGCCATGCTATTGGGGCCATTTTAATTTAACTCTAGAAAATTGAGGTTTTACAATAAAATTAATTGACAGTATGAAAAGTAATTTAATGACTTATAACCACGTGCAAGTTCAATTATTTTTCTGATCTGAGATTAATACTCTCACACACCTCCTCACGTGTGTCGAAATTTTAAACCTAATATGTGGATAACACAAATTGGGTGACATGAAACACGTATGGTCATTGAGCTTTACACATGAAACAACTTGCTCTAGTACCATGAAAAAAGTTGAAATTTCACTATAAAACCAATTGACAATACGAAAAGTAGCTGAATTATTTATAAACACATACAAAGTCCATGTTTTACTCTCAACATTAACACTGTACATGAATTGAACAAAATTGCAAATTACAATTGTCAAAGCTTTTGAGGTTTTCAAGCGCAAATCTTACTAGATCAAGGGAGGTCAAAGTAATCTATAATTTGATGGTTTTTTTTGTAAAGGTGATCTTAAAATAAAAGCGCATAATTAGATGAACAACGAGGTGCACGTAGATATTAGTAATAATTGGAGAGAAATATGAGGAGGAGAACAAGATATAAAAAAAATTGCACTTATTTTGTGTGTGGTTTTCCTAGTATCTATCATTGATTGACACGTGTTAAATCCTCTTTCACTCGGTTTTATAAACATAATACATGTCAATTAATAATAAAAACCACACACAAAATGAGTACAGAATATTTGAATTCGGAAAACGATTTAAAAGCCTAGGCCCAGTTTGTTTATAGGCAGGACTGCGCTACCCGACCGTAGAAAAATTCAAAAGCCCAGGCCCAAACTACCGAACGAACGGCCATGTCTCCCCATCTAACAACGCCGTTTCAAACCCCACGCATTTGCTTTATCCGGTCTCGGCCTTCACATTCTATCCACGGTCGTCTCCCCGAGCAGCTCTTTCCATGGCGGAGTCAGTTCTCGAGCAGTTGAGGAATGGAACTGCTCGGTTCGAGCTCGCCTCCTCCCCCGTGCTTTCAATTTCAACTTCCAATTCTCAGTCGCACCAAAGGGCGGCGTTCGGGGACCACAGCCACCGGTTCTTCGCTAGAATCGGACCGCCACTGTAATTTCCCGCTCTATTTTTCATCATTTCACCGTTTTATAATTTTCGTTTAATTTCATGAGGATCAAGCCCCTTGTTCGTACCTTTTTGCTTTTACAGAGGCAGAGGATCGTCGGCGATGAAGAAAGTTGAACGCTTTTCGGTTCAGAATGTTACCGGCGACGGGCGCTGTCTATTTCGTGCTCTGGTATTTTGAGATTTTGTACATTTCAGACATACAACCAGTAAAAGTAAATTTCTTTTTATTTAGACTACTCTTATGTACAAGAAAGGGATTCAAACTTAGGTGGGGCGGGCACACTATCCTGACCAACTGACATAACTTGGTCCGCTAAAACTAGTAAATTTTGTGCTCTCTCCCTTTCTCTTAAAGTTTTAAAATTTATTCAGGTGAAAGGAATGGCGTTGAATAAAGGGGTTCCTCTTAGCCCAAGGCAAGAGAAAGATGATGCAGGTATACGCTGATTTTCTACATAAAAGTTCTCGATGTCAATGTGAATTTCAAGAATTTAGAGCTTATTTGATGGACGTCATGAAAGGAATTGTTGAATTTTGTTGAATTTATGATATCGAAATGCTCTATAAAATGGTTGCAAGGACAATGTTTAGAACTGGTCTCTTAGGTTGCACTAAGTTTTGATTTGGAGTATTTTCTTATGATTTTTGGTGGCAATTGGGTATGACTGAGTAAATTACTCTGAATTCATAGACGAGCTACGGATGGCTGTGAAAGAGGTTATATGCGAAGATGACGAAGAGCGCCTTAAGTATGAACCTGCTCTGGTGGCAATCACTGTTGACGAGTCCTTAAAACGGTAGACCTCTATCTTTCTCCTCGTGACTAAAGAAGTTGTATCAGGTTTTGTTGTTCTGGCAGGTGCTTTAGCATATCGTTATAATGGAAATTAATCTCCTATATTTGAAAATGTCTTTCCGCAGTTACTGCCAGCGCATCAATAGACCTGATTTCTGGGGAGGAGAGTCTGAGCTGCTGGTCAGTTTTCTTGATCAGACTCTTTCATTTCTAACATTGTCACTGTATGTAGTATATAATAGTATCATTGGATTGTCAGCTGTAGATATATATCAACCAAGTTTTGTTTAGTTGGTATCCTAAGGTAACTAATCATTGTAATTTAGGCTTCAACTAAAGACTATTGGTTCCCGATAGGAAATTATCCATATGGTGGTAGTTGATGTTTTAAACCAAATGCTACGATTTCTCATATTTGTTGCTGTAATTCGTTTCTCGCAGTGATTTATATGAGTGTTGAATTCTCTCTCTCTCTCTCTCTCTCTCTCTCTCTCTCTCTCTCTGTGAGTGTTTTGTGTGACCGATCACCCTGCTCAATACTGCAGGTGCTGTCAAAGTTGTGTGGGCAGCCAATCACTGTTTACATACCAGAGCATGAGGTATATTTTTCCATTAAGAATCTATTATCTTTATTGATGCCAACCAACTTATCTATTTTAGTTTCGGAGATAACTCAAAACCGACATATGAAAAGCTCCAAATCATCGACCGGTCTAACTATTTGTGCACGGAGCATCTTCATTTATTACAAGGGTGAAGATCGTTAGCAATGCACATTTTCTTAGCAACGCGTTTTCTATTCAACTAATCGGATATATAGTGTGCTTTACTTAGTGTTTTAGTTGTGATCTGTTGGTTCAAATAACTTGCAGCATACAAATGGTGGACGGGGTTCTGGTTTCATTCCGATTGCAGAATATGGAAGCGAGTTTACAAAAGGTTCTAGAAACAAAAAGCCCAGAAAGGTTGTGAGGCTCCTCTACAGTGGCAGGAACCATTATGATCTGCTTGTATGATGGATGGAGAGAGAGAGAGAGAGTGAGATGCATTTGTTGTTGCATCTTCAACTGTAGCAAGAAAGATTTCGAACTGAATAGAATGATAGTATTTTTTTTGTTTTATTAGCCTTTGTTTTTCTTTCTTTGATACAATCATACCGACTCTACTTAATGGGATAGAGCTTTGTTCTTGTTATAGAATAGCTGCCAATACACAATGTTATCTAGATAGTACGGCGGGTATCGGGTAGGTTGGTTGAATTGAATTACAACTTGTTGGTTAACCCAATAAGTTTGGGTTGGCATTCGGTTGGAACTGTTGAAACCCATTTTTGCCCAGGAAAATGGGTAAACCAACCCCCACACCATTTTTAGGTTGGGGGGTTTCAACAATGCTTAAACGTACATCATACATTAGATAAATACACACACACACACACATATAATTTAGTAGTTATTAAATGCACTTGCTTATTTTGTACTTCATTTTAATAAATGAAATAAAAAAATTAACCAACATGCAGTGAGTGTACAATACCAATTCATATGATTTGCATAATATGACTTGAATTTTGAATTATATGGCACTCACACAAAAATTAGGAATAAGAAAGAAAACAATTAATACTAACCTATGAAACCTCCCAACCTAAAATTGAAACTATAAACATGTTGATTGAGAAAAAAAATTAACGAATGGAACACAATATCAATATTTCGGAAGCTGCACATAAGGTAAAATTTCATATTTGTCATTGTTTTAATTATTCAACGACATCGGTGATTATTTAAGCCTGCTTTTGCTTTTCATGCTACCCAATTTCATAGGAAGCCAACCCAGCAATGCCTTTTTCCGTTCTTATTCATCTTACGGGGTTTACTTTTGCTTTGTTAGGTTCCTCCTACTTGCCATTTTTAGCAGAAATCCTTTTTTGTTAGCAAAAGGCTTAAGAGACAAAGAAAAGAAGATTTGCTGTGATGACCCAATGAAACTCGAGCTCAACATACCGGATTGTAGACTTCTCTTTTTAGAGAATGTTAGGGTTTTAATCCTAAGTCAATTTAATTTAGAAAAATTGAAAATGAGTATTATTATATTTGAAGAATGTGAGGGTGTATAGAAAATGTAGAATGTATGTGGAAAGTATTAGGTGTGTGAGAATATGGGGTGTAAGGATATTATGAGAAAGTCAGTGAGATGTATTAAGATAATTTTTAATTGAAAAAATAAATGTGAGGTGTATTAAATATGTGATGTTTAATCAATAATATGTGGGGTTTTAATAGATTAAGCCTTTTTTTTGTCACTTTTATAGTAATTTTATTCACACACTTATTTTTACTTCCCAAAAATTCTATCTTAATTTTTTGTCTAATGAATTGAAGAATATAATGATAAAATATTAACAAAAAAGTGTAAAAGATAAAAACAGATGTGTGAATAATACTATCTGACTTTTAATTGAATCTAACTGAATCAAAAGTAGAAAGGAACATGTGGAGATTGACATATTTGGGTGCTCTTCTAACATTGAACTGGATTGGATAGTTCTTGCTTCCCACTTTGAGTAAGAAAATAAATAAATAATTGAAAAAGCAGAAAGAAACGTCAAGAGGACCTTGCAGGACCATTTTTGTAAGAATTTTGAGATCGTACATCGTGCGGTCAGAAATTATTATAAATTATTTTATTTAAAATTAAATATAAATAATATCTAACAAAAACTAACCGTACAATATATGATGAAATGTTATTGGAGGATCCGGATTCTCACAAAAAGAATCTGACGAGATCCTCACTTGAAGAAACGAACCTTGTCTTCGCGCGTCTTTACACGTGTCATGCACGTGGACCCTCACCAAAACGCCCTCGTCACAGCTAAAAATGCAAAACTGGAATCTTTCTTGTCGCTCTTCATTCCTTTTATAGCTTTTTCTCCCTCAAATATTCAATCCAATTTTTCCTCAATTCGCCCTCAGAGGCAAAGATTCTCAGAATCTAGGGTTTTCTCTTTTTTTTTTTCTTTTGTAATTTGGGGATTTTTTTTTCTGAGATGGAAGGGGCGAGCAACGGAGGGATGTTGTACCACGAGGTACAAGAGTCGAAGCTCTGCGCGGTGCATTGCGTGAACACGGTGCTGCAGGGTCCCTTCTTCTCTGAATTCGATTTGGCGGCGCTCGCCTCCGATCTCGATCGGAAGGAGCGGCAGATGATGCTCGTCGAGGGCGGCTTCCACGCCGGTGATTTCCTCTCCGAGGAGTCACATAACGTCTCCTTGGACGGCGATTTCAGTATTCAGGTCAGGTCCCAATTCCAATCCCCAAATTTCGATTCTTTCTCCCTTAGTTAAGCAAAGTTTCGATTTTTCTGTTTGGAAGTATCGACATTGTTTTCATTTTTCACTATAACTTAAATATGTATAATTAGGACCTTTTTACGGAGTTAGTCTGTGATTTTATCGTCCTGATTCAGTGATATATGAATCCTTATTGCATTTCGTTATTGGGTTTTGGAATTTAACATTTGAGCTAGTTGGAGGAAAAAAAAGAGTCTTTCGTTATATGATTCTCTGTTTGTTAATAGTTCACGAATGGGACTCGGTGTTTTGCAGAACATGATGCTTTCCATTTGGGTTTTCTTGTCTTGAGATTGATTAGGTGCTTCTTGAACCTTTAGATAATTATAAGAGTAGTGGTGTGGTAATTTTATTCTTTGAGTGCAAGAAATTCTGGAATTTCATGTTAACTGGCACCATTTTAGTTGAGGTTGGTCTTGGCATGGCTTTCCGTGGGATGTATGCCTTGATCAATCGTTGATCAAGCAAAGCTTGTCACGTGCTTGTTTCTCACTAGAGATGATAGTAACAGTTGAGTAGCAGTATCATGGGACTTGATCATTGATTACTCTGATTAGTTATTGGCTTCCATGTGTGTGCGTGTGGTCACGTGTACCAAAGCATCCGATCATTGATTAGTATGATTAGTTGTTTGCTTTTATGTGTGTGTGTGTGGCCACATGTTTTGTGGATTAGAATAACTAAGTTTGTCATTTTTCATGGTATTAACTATCTATGTCTAAGTTTGTCATATTTGGTGGTATTAACTATCTATGTTTGAGAGGCAACGATGACTCTGTATTATGCTAAAGAGAAATGCTCAGGGAACTCTCTCAAAAGTGGATTCTCCATGGATTCTCTGCCACCTCACAATTTAATGTCATGCCCCGGCCAACATTATAAAACATTGTGCCAAAAACATAAGGTGGCAGAAAGTCCATAGAGTCCCACCTTTGAGAGAGTCCCCTTAACATTTCTCTTATGCTAATACGCACCAGTATTTTAGTAAGACTAACTTGGATGAAGGGATTCACACTTGATTATTTCCCTACGTATGTGTGTGTTTGTGTGTGTGTGTGTTTGTGTAAAATGTATTTGTATACATATGGGATGTTTTAAATGAGCGATAGAAGAATTTGCGAGTGTAGTTGTGTATGAATGGTGAAGGTGATGTCATTATGATGCTTTGGTGAGTCAAACTGAATTATTCATTATTCTTTGCTTTTCAGATTTATTATTTCACTTTGCACGAAGAATTTAAGAGTACCAATACTACCTACACTTTGCTTTGCCATGGCCTTTACCGTGTCTCCCAGTCACGAATCTCTGGTGGAAAATGTGCTTCCTCCAGGGGTATCTTTTTGTTTTCATGTTAGTATATTTCATCAATGCAAGCTAGTAAGTGATGCTTTGGACTTCATGATTACGCTTTAACAAGTTTTGATACACCCATGGAGAGTACAACTTCCTCCAGTCTGAGCAGATTGTGGTTACCCTATTTGACGATAAATCTTGTGGATGTTATGACGATGGAAATGCAAAATGAGCTATAAAATTAGGTTCTTTTATCTGTACTGTTTTATTTATTATTACGTTGAACTAGATTTTCCTTTGGATTTCCTCATTTGCAAAATTGTAATTACCAAATTTGGAAATATTTTTAGTTCTGTGGCATCTTATTTTGCTGGGTGTGATTCCAGAGTGAGTTGGTATATTAGTAATTTAGCTTTGTACTGAATTTCCTTATCTTGTTTTGCTGCCAAATAACTCAGTTAGTGGCTATAAAATATAAACAAGTATGTAGTTGGTTCTTTTTTAATTAATTCACTTTTAAGCTTTGATGTAACATCAGATTGCAGTTTCATTATTTTCGACCATGACTTTTGCTCCACAAGAGATTGTAGCATTTCCACAATTTGCAAACCGTTGAAGTTTTCATTTGCAGGTCCTACAAAAGGCTTTAGAGGTTTGGGATCTGCAGGTCATCCCCCTTGATTCTCCTGTCGCTGAGCCAGCCCAGATTGATCCTGAGCTTGAAAATGCATTTATCTGTCATTTGCAGGACCATTGGTTTTGTATCCGGAAAGTGAGTAGAGAGTGGTATAATTTCGACAGTCTTTATGCGGCACCATTGCACCTCTCAAAGTTTTACCTTTCGGCCTATCTGGACACACTAAAAGGCTCTGGTTGGAGCATTTTCCTGGTGAGAGGAAACTTCCCAAAAGAGTGTCCCATCTCATCCTCTGAAGCTTCTAATGGTTACGGGCAGTGGCTTTCACCTGAAGATGCTGAGAGGATAACTAAATCCTGCAACTCCACAAATGCTGAAGCTCAGGGAACAGATTCAAATCCACAATCTTCGGCACAAGTTCTATCAAATGAGGAAGCAGATTTGCTTTCAGAAATGGAAGATGAGGACTTGAAAGCTGCTATAGCTGCCAGTCTTTTGGATTCTACTCCATCCATTGCCCGTGCTCAAGCCAGAAACCCACAGATCAGCAGCAGAAACCCTCAGGACAGCATCGACAACCCTCAGAACAACACCAGAAACCTTCAAGGCATCACTGACAATCCTCAGAACAGCATTGGAAACCCTCAGGACAGCAACGACAACCCTCAGAACAACACCAGAAACCTTAAAGACATCACTGACAATCCTCAGAACAGCATCGGAAACCCTCAGGACAGCAACGACAACCTTCAGCACAACACCGACCTTCAAGACAGCACTGACAATCCTCAGAACAGCATCGAAAACCCTCAGAACATTAGCGGCAACCCTCAGATCAGTACTGGCAACCCTCAGAACGAAAGTGCAGGCAGCCAAGAGAAAATTGATTGAGAAAAGAAAAGTATACGTTTTCTTAGATTTTTTGTTTACCGGTTGAGGATCATTGATCTATGTCAGGTTACACAGTTGACTTACAATCCTTGGCGCAAAGTCATCGCACTTTGCCGCATATACAACTCTGTTATACTTTCGTCAACTCAATTTGTATAAACTTGAAAAAATAACCTCCCAGTTTTTTCCATTGGATTACATATCTTTCATTTTGTAAATGCTTCTTATAGGCTCAAGACATTAGGGATTAGTTTCTGGCACATTTTCGCAAAGGTCTAGTTTCTTGCTTCATGTGTTGGGGGTAGTTTTTGAAGGGGAGATTCTTGGCTGTTCTCGAGCGATACGTTCCTCTCTTTCTACACTGCTCTTCAGGTGACTGGAGACCTAGGAAGAGGGGAATGTATCGTCACTGCTCGAGACTAGAGATATAGGAAGAGGAGAATATATCGTTGGTTGTATGCACGAATTAAGGACAGGCCAACTACGTTTTTGTTTTAACAACCGATATTATAAAAATTGCATAAGAAAAAAATAAAAGAACTTGAAAAACCCCATCTGATCCTCATCGCCTCTCGGCTGTTCAAAATTCTTCCCACCCAAATCTCACCTCACCCATCCACCCACCGCCGATCAACATCGAGTAGATAGATACAGAAGTTAACGTTGTAAACCTGCTGTGATGTCATAGGACACTTGTCAACAGAAGAGAGCGGGTAGAGGATGATCAGGGGGGATTCGGGAACAGCAGATCCGGACTCGAAAAAGCCATGAGAAGACGCTTTTCAGCTGGAAGCCTATGACTCTCTGACCACCACCACTCGCACCTTTTAACATTCATCCGTATATACACATACATAACATATTTACAAACATGAATAACATACGTGGAACCCATTACTTCTCTTTTACTAAGGATCCTCTGAAAACTCAAAGCCAACACCTTTATTTGTGTCTTGGATCTGAACTGGAATTCCAGGCTTTAAATTTTGGATATGACTTCATCTGAAAGGTTGTTCAACAGGCAAAGAACACTTCATGAGATCCTTGGAGGAGGTCTTGGTAAGTCAGATTTGTTCATCACACCACTATTTTGATTAAAATTGTGATTGAAGTAGTAATTAAAATTGTTATTCAGTATCTTGAAGTTCTCAAAGTTTAGTATAAACTTTATGAATGTAAGTTGAATTTCACTTTGATTTATGGTGTTATACTGTATCCAGTAAGGATGCATTGTTCATTCAGGTGTGTGGGGTTTATCACAAAAGATCTCGGTGAAGTTTAGAGAGAGATGACAATCATCCTTCCAATGCGGGACAATTTGCATTTGATCTATAATTCCTAACAAATTCTTGATCTGGTTGAGATGTGACTTTTGTGGTTTTTACAGTTGCAGATGTGATTCTGTGGAGGCAGAAAAATGTGACTTTGGGGATAATCCTAGTAACTTTATCTGTTTGGGTGGTGTTTGAGAAGTCTGGTTACACTCTGCTGTCACTTGGCTCAAGTGTTCTCCTCCTCCTCATGACCACTCTCTTTCTCTGGGCTAAATCCGCCGCCATTCTTAACCGGTAAACGAAAAAACCGTTGCTTCTTTTCCTGAATTGTAACAATTTATGTGGTTAAATCAGTTGATTATTTCGTTACAAGAAAAACACATAACATCCTGGTATGTAGCATTTTTTTTCCTCGAGATGTTTCATGTTTTGCTGATTTTATCCGAACACTTTCTCTTAAATTTTGGAATAAATAGCATATGTTTATGTGTCAACATACAAAATGTGCTACATTCTTGCCACTCTCTACTTTGTGAACAGACCAGCTCCTCCCCTGCCTAAATTGCATTTATCAGAAGAAATGGTAAACGAAATGGCATCTTTCATCCGCATTCATGTAAACGCTTTGCTCTCGGCTTTCCAAGATATTTCTCTCGGAAAGGACTCAAGGTCGTTCTTCAAAGTAGCTGCATCCCTCTTGGTGATTTACCTTGTTGGTGGCTGGACTGATTTTCTTACTTTGAGCTACACCTGTAAGTTTAAAGTTTCATTTCCATTTGGATCGAAGACGCACCAGATTCACATGTTGTAAACCTATTCAGTTGATTTATGTTTTTGTTTCCCTTGTGTGGCAGGTCTTGCGGTCGTTCTAACAGTTCCAGCGCTCTACGAGAGGTGTGAAGATTACGTGGACAAATATGTCATGATGGGGTACCTGAAATTGCTGCAGTTGTACGTTAAACTAGATTATGAGTATGTAAACAGACTTCAACACGAGGATTTGGAGAAGAAGAAACTAAGTTGATTTGTCTTCTCTCATTTAAAACCTTTTTTGAATTTCCTTTCGGGTTAAGGTCACGAGAGTGCTAAGGCGAGGCGTCTGAGTGTGGTTGAATCTTTTTTTTCTTTTCGAAATTATATATACCCCTTTTTCTTTTCTTCCCCAGATTTATCATTTTGTTCCTTGCAAGACAATGTAGGTTTGAGTGAAGTTGCAAGGAGGTGGTGTTTGAGAGATATTGCAGAAATGTCCTGTCAAAGTACCATGAGTTTTTGTAATCAAATGCTGCTGAGTTTATACCACAAGTTGAGTCTTACATATTTTCTGAGTTTCATTTCGACTGGTAAAAATTATTAAGGGCATACATAAATTTCTCTCTCAAAGACTTCCTTTTAGATGCGAGAAAACCCTTTGCCTGCTCCAATATTATGCCTTCGAATCGGAATCTGAGGTTGTGTAAGAGTCAGTCCGGATGCCACAGTGCAAACCAAGGTTCTAAAAGGCGCTAGTCGGCTGATGGGCAAAGGTCTAGCGACTATGCGTCTTGGCAGGACCTAGGCATTTGTTTTAGTTTTAGTTAAATTTGTTATATAACATATAAATAAATGTCTACTTATACTTAAATAAAATACATAATTGTATTATGTTACATAAATTGTAAAATAGAATGATATGAATTATAAAGTACTAGAACATTTTGAAAGCATGGGGAGCAAGGGTATAATGAGTGTTCATCTACGTATCTAAGTCTTCTACAATTTATTGAAAAAATAAAATGTAAAATAAAAATTATCAATTTTTTGTCTAAGTGAAAGTCGCGACCTAGGCGGATGCTTATGCAGGTCTAGGCACTTTTTCTTATCTTTTAAACTCCTATTGATTAATTGTGATGGTGGCCAGCTGATGAGTCAATATTATACTATATATTTTACCTTAATCTTAGTTATAATTTATTAGTTATTTTGGTAGAATTATGATACTTTGTTATATATTTCCAATGTAGGACATTCGATTTCTTCTAGAGCAATATATTTCCAATGTAGGACATTCGATTTCTTCTAGAGCAATATATTTCCAATGTAGGACATTCGATTTCTTCTAGAGCAAAAAAGTAACCAAATGGATGAATTTTGGAGTGATTCTAATTGGAGGATGTTCGTGAGTCTTTCAAGATGATTATGTCAAAATTTCATATTTTTCTAGTGAGCCGTTTGACTGTGGCAATGAAATAAAGGCCCAGCGCGCAACTTTCCCAGATGGACGTTTCTAGACATTTTGGGTATTTTGGAGGTTAAGATGTCATATTTTGAGAAAGATTCCTTCTGAGAATTTGTAGGGGACGCCTCCAGCTTTCAAAAGAGACCTTTTGTGACCAAATCGGAGTTGATTTGGTTGGTCAAAAGTGTGACTCTCTGAGAGGTTTGAATTCTAGGTTTCCTATTTGAACTAGAATTCGAACTTCTCATAAAGTCACACTTTTGACTAACCAAATCAACTCCGATTTGGTCCCAAAAGGTCTCTTTTAAAAGCTGGAGACATCCCCTACAAATTCTCAGAAGGAATCTTCCTCAAAATATGACATCTTAACCTCCAAAATACCCAAAATGTCAAAAAACGTCAATCTAGGAAAGCTGAGCGCTGGGCCTTTATTTCATTGCCACAGTCAAAGAAAAATATAGAGAGTAATTAATAAAAAAAACTAAAGAGGATTAAGAGAAATTAACCTTCCAATATCAAGTCAATGAAAAATGCTAGGGAGACTATGTTTTTAGACCATGGAGACCACATGATTGAGCAGTTGATGATTGGATTCCTTTTTTAGTTATTTAAAGGAGTAATCCAACTATTAACCGTTATATTATCATGTGGTCTCAAAATATGGCTAAGCAGATGGTCTCTCTACCATCACCCCAAGTTAATATAGAAATAGATTGGAAATTTTCGGAAAAAAAAAAAAAAAAACAGAAAAGAGAAGAATGGATAGGGAATTTGGAGAACAAAATATATGAAATTATAAAAATTTAGTAAAATGTTAAAGAGAACAGAGATATTTACAAACTTCAATTTTGTTGTGGTTGGGAATTTGGAGGACAAAATATATGAAATTTTAGGAAGGGGAAGAGGAAAAGCTAAGAGTTTATTATTCTTTTGGGAATGTAAAGAATATTGATTTGTTTATAACATAGGATGTTAAATTTAGTTTTAGAATGAGTACCGTTGGGATTGAAAATAAAAAGATACCTCTTATTTTAACTATTCATGAATAGAATTTAAGAATTTTGTGTAAACTAAACCAAATATAATACTAAGTTTATAAACAGAGTATAATGCTACATTATTTGGAAAGGCTGAAAGAGTGAGGTAGGCCTAAGCTTATGCTGGCCGAGACCAAATCCTCTCTGTGGCCTCAATAAGTGTCTGATACGTATTCAATATCTTAACTTTTCTTAATTTTGCTGTCATGAATTTAATATGTGTCAGATACTTATTGGGGCCACAGAGAGACCACACCCATTTTGGGTGCCGAAGATTTGATCTCATGCTGGCCTTATGGTGCCTCAGCCTTTGCTCTACAAAATCGGGCAACGAAAGCTTATTAGTTGCAAGCTGTGAGAAATGGACGTCAAGCTCTTCAACATTACACCTTATGGCATTACGAATCCACTTGAGTACTACTCAAGAATGATCATCAGAACCTTTCTTCGCTTCATCGCTTGCATAGAAACCCAAGCCGATGCAGACTTGCTGCAGCCTGTTATGACCACGAAAATGCAAGTATCTATCAAAAGAAATCATCAGCGTCGCTAAATCCATTTTTTTTTTTTCATCTGTCCACCAAACTGTACCAAAATCCACCACCGGAACTGAGAGATGAAATTGTCTGCATCTTTTGGACAGAGCACCCACCCGAGTGAGGTCCTTGAAATTGAGTAAGGAAAGAATACAATGAGCAACTTCCTCCGGAAGAACACTAAATCTGTCTATTCCACTTTCAGAAGAAGTTCCTTCAGCTTTAGGACTTGTAGATGCCCGGAACTCACGCTTGCGCTCCATCGTAGAGACTCCTGAAGGCGGTGGTCGGAGGTTCTAGAGATAATCCTTTCCTGCAACCAACATTTGCAACAATATATCGTAACTACACTCTCACAAGATTGCTCAGGTAAGGCTTACAGCTAAACGGGATGGCATTGCAAAATCTGCGAGGCATATCATCAAACACCTTCCAGGCACTACCACAATCAACGAATTCCACAAAACCCTAAACGAAATCAACGATTTCCAGAAAATCCTAGGATTATGTTTGGACGAAGAAATTTAATATTATGAATGAATTTTTAAATGACGGAAATTAAAATGACGAAATTTTATTTCTAGACTTTGCAAATTTTTTTGTTTGATTAACCTAATGTTTGGGTGAAAAAAATTTAAGATTACTAAGGAATTTTAACATGATGACAATTGAAATAACGATATTTTATTTTCTAAAATTTGTGAATTTTCTTGTTTGGTTAACCTAAAAGAACAATGGAATTGAATACGAAATTTGTTATCTTTAAATTCTCAATCATAGGAATCGGAAAATAACACCTATTTACAGGAAATTTAAAGTTGGGAATTTTAGGCCCCAAATTCCTCTTTTTTTTTCTGTTTTTTTTTCACACATAAATTCTAAACTTCTATAAATATGAATCCAAAACAAGAGAATTTATGCATGTAAATTTATAAATTTCAATTTTTACTCAAATTTCAAGTTCATTTCCCTCGTCTAAACATAATGTAAAAGAACAATGAAATTGAATACGAAATTTCAATGAAATTGAATACGAAATTTATTATTTTTAAACTCTCAATCATAATTAAAAAATGACACATATTTATATGAAATTTAAACTTTGAAATTATAGGTCCTAAATTCCAAGTTTTTTTTTTCATACAAAAAATTCTAAATTTTTATGTTTAGAATCCAAACAAAGAAATTGATGCATGTTAATTTATAAATTTTGATTTTTATCCAAATTTCAAGTTTATTTCCTTCCTTTCAAACATACCATAAATTTTTGACCAAAAAAAAAAACGAAATCAACGAATTCCACTAAATTTTTGAAAACGAAAAGTGTACAATTCGACAGAAATTCGAAGTTGAAATCGGATATTTTAGAAATTCGTAGTTGGAATCACTTACGCTTAGAGGCGGAATTGTAGTGGCTGAATCACTTTCTCTGCGGCAATGAGCCGAGCCGTGGTTGTTAAGCGTTTGTCTGTGATCTGCCAGTAGAGCAAATTACTTCCAACATTTCGAGGACTGGATAATCTGAGGGGTACTTGATTGATAACGGTTTAAACCTATAGGGTAAATAAGTCTGTTCCTATATAAACCCAAAAAATTTAGGACATATATATTTATGAGTTGTATAAATAAAAAGAAAGATAAATAATGTTGAAAACATTGGCATTGTTATGAATGCCCACACAGATTTCCAATGCCCACAAATGTGATGTAGACTTTAGAAATAACCGGATCGTATTTTCAAAGTCATATGATGTAAATTTCAAAATGTAATAATGCGAGTTGCTCTATAAATAGAGCACTCGACTGCAATCAAAACACACACAAAGAAAAATAGATCAATAACTTCAGTATCTATTCCTCCCTCTTTTATTTGTCATCCTCTTGTGCTATAACTTCAGTGTGATATTTTACACTTACTTTGTTCCTGTTACTAGTAAAGGTTATATCTCTAACTTTTACATATTTATAACAAGTCTTTTCTCCCGTATTTTTTTACGAGTAAAGAATGAAAATCCGTAATGAGATACCCTTAAATCTGGAATCCCACACCACAAATTCAAGAATTTGACTAACGTAAGAGGGTAGTTTATCGAATTCCTTTTACTTTCCTCTCATGTTGTCATACAAAAATACCATCAATATTTTGTTGTTTCCCAAAATACCACTTGGTGCAAATTTCTAGGATGCATATGTTTGCCATCACTAACCTTCACTAAATTTGGTTGGACTAAAAGTTAATGTAGTCTCGTGATTATCATCCGCAGAAATTAGATTTAATAAAATTAAAAATGACTCGTCCTGACTAAATGTCTCGCTAGACATTCTTAAAAAGACCCTCCTAGATTCATTTTAAGTTTTTGAGTTGAATTTTTAATTATCTTTAACACATTCTTACGTACATAGCATTTTATTATTATTATTAACTTTTTTGTTTTGTGAGCGAGATTGGCTAAGATGATCAAAATGAAAAATCAGTGACGTTGATCGAACATCGACGACAAAAGTAAAAACTGATAATATCAGCAACTGAGAGTTGCTAAATGATCATTTATATTCCATTTCCAATCCAAACATTGTCCTTTTTTTTCCCATTCAAAATGATATATTCGTCTTTTCCCCTTTTTGAGAAACATTTTAAAATACTACCGTCCAAAGCAGCACCAAAGAGAAATGATTTCCGCATATCTCCAAAACAACTATACATGTATTGCCATCTTCATCTTTAAATTCGACAGGGGCAAACTATTAAAAATAGGAACAAAAAGTTTAACCGGAAGCATGGAAAAACAATTACTCAGAGAGAACCTTGGACCAATATAACCGCAACCAGTTCCAGGGAGGGAAAAAACAAGGGAAAAATTACAAAAATTAATCTTTTCTAGACTTGGCCACCACCGGCCATCAGGGGGTAGTCATGTTTCCAGACCTAGCCCTATCCGTCTCGTCCCGTATCGCCTTGATAAAACTTACGTTTGAGTTGTGACATGTGATGTGGGGGTGGAGGCGGCGGAGGAAGTGACATGGGCTGTGCTGCTAAAACACCTTTGCCGTCCCTAGGATCCATAGTGCTACCACCCTGCACTGCTTCCATCGCTTTGTTGGTCATTTGCGGAGAATTGAAGGGCAAACCCCCGTGATTCCGTCCATATTCTCCTTGGTAAAATGCAGCTTTTCCTTGAGACTCTGCAGAGTTCGAGAAACCATCTGTATTTCCTTGACCCCCTGTTGATGCTTCAAACGGAACACCAGCCTGTCCTGCATTCCAAGACTGCGGATAACTCACCGGAAAATTCATGTTCCCAACTGAACCTGGGGCAAAACCCAGTAACGACCCCTGTTCTGGTCCAACATCTGGGGCTGAATCCTGTCGTGCCATCTCATAGGGAGCACCATAAAATTGTTGGGATCCATCACTGGGAAAAGGAAAGCCATATGGAAGGGGCATCCTCATTTGACTGGAATTAACAGGAATTTCATAATTGGGGGGCGGAATGGAATGCATGGGTGGATATTCAGAAAAGGGAGTCTCAGATAAAATTCCTTGCTGCTTATCGGAAAACTGGCCAGATTCCTGCATTGGAGCACCCATTGAATCATAGCTTTGTTGATGGAAGAGATTGTGGGGAGCAGGCCTGTCAAAGCCTGGGGGCTGACTGGGGTCTGGTGGGTTATTCTGAACTTGCCCAAAGGCTGGGTTGGGCTGCATGACTGGCCTTGGAAGTGATTGTTCTCTAGACTGTTGAAGCCGAGCTTTGTCCTCGCGGTCATGGAGCTGAGAATTTGAACCAGGGGAAAATACTGGCCTTGATGGAGCACGAGCAGTGGATTCAGATATTGTACATTGTTTGGTATTTCGAGATTCTGATTCATTTCCATCCATTTTGTCTCCATTTAGCTGAAGAAGGTAAGCATGGTTCTCGTGAATATGAGATTCAAATTCATCCCTCTTCAGAAAAGATTTCAGACAGTGAGGTGCTGCACAAATGAAGATCCCCTCCATCATTTTGATTGTCTGAATCTTCTGGATCCGTTCATCACAACTGTGAAACATAAATCATGAAAGTTAGATGTTCAAATCATTCATCCACTAAATCCTATGCATGGTGGTAATCGATAATTTATTGATGCAAATTTTGTTAGATTTTCGCCTCCCCATGGAACTTGTTCTTTGATGTATATGGCTGTAGACTAAACTTAGCAAATAGAAAATAACTACAAACACACAAGATTTATACTGGTTCGGCAGAACTTTTGCCTGCGTCCAGTTGTGATTTGTCTAAGTAGAGAAAACACGACTTCTTTGAATTGATAATAGAGCATACAGTGCTTTTGTAAACCCTAGAACAAATCCCTCTGACTTCTCTTGGCTTTCTCTATTTTCTTTTTGTTTCTCTGCCCCTTGCCGCACCCTATTTATAGGCACAGGGTGTAGTTTACATGCCTATTTTCTGATTTATTTTCCTATTCTATTACTTACATTCCTATTCCGTTTCTGCTTTTAAGATTCCTAATCTAATAGTACAAGAAAACTTAATTCTTTCCTAATCCTTGTAGGACAAGAATATGTGCACCTTTCGCTTTCCTAAAAGAATCCTAAACAAAATAGGACACAACCATTGACAAGCCAATTCCTAACAAGTTTAGCCTTATAGTGTATTATCCCTCAATTTAAATCCCTTGGATGAGCCCTCCTCTAAATAATAGAAGTACACATGCAAGCCAAAGAAAACCCTTCCGCTCCTTCACTAGGCAAAAGAAAAGGAACACATGTAAAGTTCAGAAATCTTACAGATAGCAAATTGAGTAACTCCTAGCACAATCCAGACAAAAGGCATGCTCACAAGGGCTCTGCAAGAACACTAGCTAGTTAATTTCCCCAACGTCTAAAGGTATGAGGCTCAAGTTATGAAAATAACACCAAGACCGTATTGAAACCCAATACAAGAAGGGAAAAATTTAAGGCGAAAGCAACTCGAAGACATGGAAAGACATATTTAGTTGGTCCGTACCAGGCGTCCATAGATAGCAATTGGAAAATCGCAGCTAACACAAAAGTGGACACGTTCTCCAAGCTGCCGACGAGACCTGCGGCCTACAGTCTTGACAAGAGTAGTGGTGGTTGCTGCACCAATGCCCTTTGCCACAGGAAGATCAGCAAGGACAAGGTGGTCAGGGCATGCAACAGTCACAGTCTCTTCTGCCAAGTGTTTTGCCCCTGAAACACCCTCTGGTGGTGTAACACTCTTAAGCCGGATCTGAAGCATCTTTCACTATACTGTTACCCTCTTCCAATCGATGTATAAAGTTTGCGACTTACTATAGCACGCTTACAATTTCCACTTCAGTATACAATTACGAGACTGAATATCTTCTCCTGTAGATGAATAGAAAATGATAAGTCCTCGTAATGGGGTTATTTAAATGAGTGTATTATGCACTTACACATGGATGGCAATTGATGTATAAGCACCGATGCATTTATCTGGGGTTGAGAATTAAAACTAGATTGACCAGAATTTGGTTCGATATTAGCGTTTTTATTTCTCACGTCTATGACTGGAATTAAGGAAATTATCGAAGACTGATAACAGACAGACACGAGAAGGCGCAAAGGCTATAGCTTATCCACAAATCTAGACAAGCAATAGACGAATCTAGAGGTAAGCAGTCAGCCACAAGGTATTCCTAAGTTGTAAGAACCAAACACAGAAACCACACGGGCAGAACATCATTGAACAAAACGAAGGTTGACCTGAAAAAATTCTAACTGCGATAAGCTAACCTACGAGGTTCAGGTGGGTGCTACAAAAAAAGTAATACCAACAAGTTGAATTTTCACATGTTCTCTTGAAACTCTGTATCAATCAGGAAAGAAACTAAGCAGGTGAACCTAAAAATTGGAATTTGCAGCATGAAATCTTGGTTTGGTTCCATGGAATCCAATTCCGGATGCAATTAGAAGTTGGTATTGCATTCCAAAGCTCAAATCTCAAATTTCCAAATTTCTTTGGACTGATAGGGAGGAGCAAATAGACTTACCGGAAATTCTTCGTTACGACGTCGTCGGCGGTCCTAAGCTCGAGCAACCCAAGTCTGAAAAGGGTATGGTATTCAGTTACCGCCGCAAGCCCTAATACAATCCGATAGAAATTGAAGTGAATTAGTAATTAGATATTAAACTATGTGGGATTAAGAAATAAAAAAAATTAAAAAAAAAAGGAAATTTAAGCAATACCTGAACTGAATTGGGGAAAATCGGCGGAAGAAGAAGAAGAAACTCTGAAATTGTGTTGATTGGCGGGTGGGTTACGGGACGAGGGACTGAGATTTGGAAGAAGAAGGAGACTGGTTTACTGGTTTGGTTTTTTGGGTTGGTTATTGGGCTGATCGGCTGGTGTGGGCTTTTGGGTTTTTAACGAAAGATTAAAATAAATAAATTTAAGGTTCTATTTGAAAAAAAAAAAAAAAAAGTCAAGGTTTAAGTGGAAGTAGGTCTCCTTTTCTTTTAAAAAAAGGCATCTTTCAACTTACTTAATACGAGAAGTATAGGAGCTTATGCTTAATTGTGATGACATAACTTTTTTCACTAGTGATACTATAGGGGAAAGAACTTTGAATCTTGAGATGGAGTGCTGAGTGCAGTAGTATACAAATAAGAATGTGCGGGTGCAAATCGTAGTAGATAATTCGACACACGACTTACTTGAGGAATTTGACTGTGAACATGGTGAAGCTACACGAGGACAAGGAGGGGTGGCCGTTTCTTCGATTGCTGAAAATCGTCATTGAGAGTGAGGATTTCACCCTTTTGGTCCTTTGAATTACTGCTGAATCTACTGCGCTACTTCGTTACTTTCTGTGTTTTATGCTTCATTACTTCTTCTGTGTTTTATTTTTTTAATACGCAAGCCAAAACAACGGTGTTTTGGTTTGTGATAAAAAACACATAGAACGGTGTCGTTAAGGAGTGCTACGATAAGGCTGTAATTATTCAAAAGTTTGTTAAGTTGTTTGGTAGTATAAAGGAACTGACTGTGTAGAGAAGTTTCAAGTCCTATGAGACTCTATTTAAGGCCATTATGTGCCACAACCGTTATATGATGCCCAAGATGTATTTTAATGCAATGTTGAGTGAGCGAATAGAGCCCAATATGCATACTTATAAATTATATGAGTCAATCGGTCATGCCGGCAAGGTGTTTAATGAAACACCCCACTTAAGTGTCTCTCTCTTGAATGCCATGCTCATAAGCTATTGTAGAGATCGATGGGAAGATACCTTGTATCTCTTCTATAACATGATATTTGAGTCAAAAAGCAATGATGAAAAGCTTGATAATTTCACCACTCCCATTGCTCCGAAGGCGTGTGCAAGGTTAATGTACTCACATATGAAAATAATATGTATGAAGAAGCATGACTAGGTTGCATTGAATGTGTTTGTGGGTATGCGTTGATTGAATTGTATTCCAAATGCGGAGAAACAGGCGAGGTTGTGGAAGTGTTTGACGAGTTTTTGTAACCGAATGTGTTTTTATGGAGCGCGACAAAAAAAATCAGAAATTTCTACCCTTTTATATTTTGCCCTTCACAATTTCTAGCTTCGCTATTTATGGTGAACATTCATTATTCTTACCATTTTAAATAGAAAATAGATATTCACACATACATCTGTTAAAATGCATGAAATAAACATGTTGGAACAATGTGTTGGATGACTAGTGAAGTTAGGCTAGTCAACTTTCTTTGTGTAAGTTAGGCAAGTTAGGCAAGTTAGGCAAGTTAGGCAAGTGTTAGGCAAGTTAGGCAAGTTAGGTTTATGTCCTCTTTCTTTCCCTATATATAAGTTTCATCTTGTAATTGTTAGAAGTATCAAATACATATTGAAATTCAATATGGTATCAGAGCAGTGATCTGGGAAAACCACAAAACACAAGCTCTAAGGCAGTCACGAGGTCAACCATTCCAGGCATGGCTTCTCATTCAAAATGGGAAAATCCCAACCACCCACTCTATCTCCACCACTCGGACCAACCTGGTGCAATCCTCGTACCACAACTATTGGTGGAAGACAACTACAGCACATGGGTTTAATCCATGAGTATGGCCTTAACGGTCAAGAACAAACTTGGTTTTGTTGATGGGACAATCAACAAACCAAGTGAGGACAATTCTGAGGAGCTGCAGCAATGGAATCGCTGCAACAACTTGGTCAAGACATGGCTACTAGGCTCGATGTCAAAGGAGATTTCAGGGAGTGCCATCAACTACAAGGATGCTCGACAAATGTGGATCGATCTGCAGGAGAGGTTCTCACATGTGAATATAGTTCAGCTGTTCCATGTTGAGAACGAGATCCATGACTGCGTCCAAAGCAATATGAGTGTAAGTTCTTACTTCACTAAACTTAAAAGTTTATGGGATGAACGTGATACTTTGTGTTCCATTCCAGCATGCAGTTGTGGAACAAAGAATGAGATGAACTCATATGTTGAAACTCAGAAAACCATGAAGTTCCTTATGGGATTGAACGAATCGTATGCTACGGTTCGAAACAATACCCTTCTTCTCGAACCACTGCCTACGGTGAACAAGGCATATGCGTTGGTCCTTCGACATGAACGCCAGGCAGAGGTTTCCAATGGGAAGAGTACACAACCAGAGGTTGTTGTCTTTGCAGTGAAGAATTTGTCGCAAGAACCTACACCGGAAGACAAAGAGATGCGATGTGGAAAGTGCAATAGAACCAATCACATCACCAAAAAATGTCGTGCACATCTCAAGTGCACTTTTTGTGGATGGAAAGGTCACACCTTCGATTTCTGTCGAAAACGGAAAGCAGCCACATAAACGGAAAGCAGTCGTCCTTTTTCTTCAAAAGGGAATCAAGTTTCACAAAGTAACAAGCAAGAGATGTTGCCCAATTTCCCGTTCTCTCAGGAGGATTGCAAGCAAATCCTTCAAATGTTGAACAAGAACAAATCATCATTTGCCAATCAAGTCGGTAATCCTTCTAGTCATGAAGAACTTTCAGGTAAAGCCTTATCTTTTTCCTGTAAAGGAACCGAAAGTATTTGGATCCTGGACAGTGGTGCCACGGATCACATAGTTTGCAGCCCTAGTCTCTTTACACACTCACGAGCTGTTGAAAATCATACAGTTGAACTGCCAAATGGTTCCGTTGCCAAAGTCACTCACATTGGACAAGTTGTTTTCTCTCATAATCTTATCCTTGACAATGTCCTATGTGTGCCGTTCTTTAAATTAAATTTAATATCCATCAGTAAACTAGCCTATTCCTTATATGTCACAATTTTCTTCACTCAATTTTGTGTCATTCAGGACCTTCGCTCGGGGAAGATGATTGGGATGGGAACTGAAAGGGAGGGACTTTACTACCTCAACTCATCAAGGAAAGGAACATGCAACAATATTCAAACCATCGCACCAAAGCTTTGGCACCAACGCCTAGGACACCCATCTCTTAAAGCCACTTCGTTATTACCTTTCTTTAACAATAAAACTTGTGATTTGGAAAAATGTTCAATTTGCCCATTGGCCAAACAAACACGATCACCCTTTCCTTTGAGCTCTATTTCTACCAAATCATGTTTTGAATTATTGCATATTGATATTTGGGGTGGTTATCAAGTTGCTTCTATTTCAGGTGCCAAGTATTTCCTTACCATCGTAGATAACTACACTAGAAGCACTTGGGTTCATTTGATGAAACACAAATCTGACACAAAAGACATTTTGGTAAAATTCATTCAAATGATTGAGACTCAATTCAATACCAGAGTTCAAATCATACGAAGTGACAATGGCCCTGAGTTTAAACTTGAGCAATTTTATGCTCTCAAAGGCATCATACATCAATCTAGTTTAGTCAACACACCACAACAAAATGGTGTTGCCGAACGTAAACACCGGCACTTGCTCAATGTTGCTCGGGCTTTGCTCTTTCAAGCTTGTCTGCCAAAACGTTTTTGGGGAGATGCAATCCTAACCTCAGCCTACCTCATCAATAGAACGCCCACTCCACTTCTCCAAGGTAAAACACCCTACGAAAAACTGTTTCACAAAGCACCTAACTATTCTCATTTGAAGGTTTTCGGTAGCTTGTGTTTTGCTTCTACACATGCCCAAAGGCCCTCTAAATTCAACCCTCGTGCAATCCAATACATTTTTCTTGGGTATCCTTATGGTCAAAAGGGTTATAAATTGTTTGATATAAAACACAATAAAACTTTTGTTTCTAGGGATGTCGTATTTTTTGAAGATCATTTTCCATTCCAAAATTGTAACACTTCCGTTGCCCCGTCTCCACCAAACACTACACCTATCCCGTTTGACTTGACCTCTCCCATTGAGTCGCATTCAAGCCTTGCACCAGCAGACATAAACACCACATCTCCCACACTTGCCGACATCACACCATTCTCATCTCCTTTACCCTCTACAACTCCACCACCAGATACCTTATCAACACCTTCACCTACCCTACACTCTTCCCCACCTCCAACCACTCCATCACCAGATCCACCCCCTCCACTCCGTCGTAGCACTCGACCAACCAAAACTTCCACATTTTTGTAGGACTTTCATGTTGAGATGGCCCTCCCATCCCGTGTTGCACCCACATCTTCCACAAGCATGGTTCAGTCATCAGGTACATCTCACTCCCTATCTCGTTATTTATCCTATGACCATGTATCCACCACTCACAAAACCTTTCTCACCACCCTCACCATTATCAAAGAACCCACCAGTTTTTCGCAGGCTGTTCAGGATCCAAAATGGTGTGACGCCATGCAAAAAGAGATTGATGCCCTCCATGACAATCGCACTTGGACTCTTGTGCCCTTACCACCTCACAAACATCCCATAGGCTGCAAATGGATCTATAAGGTGAAGCTTAAACCTGACGGCAATGTTGAACGCTACAAAGCCCGTCTCGTTGCTAAAGGCTATAGTTAAATTGAAGGACTTGATTATCGGGAAACATTTGCTCCAGTTGCCAAGCTCACCATCGTCCGTGTCCTCCTCAGCATTGCCTCCATCCGTGGTTGGCATCTTCACCAACTTGATGTAAACAACGCATTTTTGCATGGTGACTTATACGAGGAGGTTTATATGTCCCTATCTCTTGGGTTCGGACGAAAGGGGGAGACACGAGTATGCAAAATTACACAAATCCATTTATGGTTTAAAACAGGCCTCAAGACAGTGGTTTATCAAGCTATCTAGTGCTCTCAAGACTGCTGGTTTTCATCAATCATGGTCAGATTACTCATTGTTCGTCCGAAACCGTCAAGGCAGTTTCATGGCATTACTTGTGTATGTTGATGACGTGATACTTGCAGGTAACAATTTGAGAGAAATTGAAGAGACTAAACTCTTCCTTTCCCAACATTTTAAGCTAAAGGATTTAGGAAAACTCAAATATTTTTTGGGGATAGAAGTTGCAAGATCTAAAGAAGGGATTGCCTTGTGCCAACGCAAATATGCGTTGGAGATACTAGAAGATGCTGGGTTCCTTGGTGCGAAGCCCTCACGATTGCCGATGGAACCAAACTTGTCCCTTACACAAACTGAAGGGACGCTCCTACATGATCCTTCTTCATATAGGAAACTCGTAGGGAGGCTAATTTACTTAACCATCACGAGGCCTGACCTGACTTACGTGGTTAATATGTTAAGCCAATTCATGGACAAACCGCGATAACCACACCTTGATGCAGTGCATAAGGTTCTCAGATACATCAAACAATCTCCTGGCCAGGGAATTATGTTGCCTTCTACAGGTTCACTACAGTTACAAGCTTTTTGTGATGATGATTGGGCTCGGTGTAAAGACACTAGAAGGTCAATAACCGGTTATTGTATCTTCCTTGGGCAAGCACCGATATCTTGGAAAACAAAGAAGCAAAGCACAATATCTCGTTCTAGTGCAGAGGCAGAATATCGTTCTATGGCTATCACCTGTTGTGAAGTTATATGGCTAAAGAACCTTTTGAAGGACTTACGAGTGAATCATGCACAACCAGTCACATTGTTTTGTGATAATCAAGTTGTCATGCACATTGCTTCGAACCCAGTGTTTCATGAACGAACGAAGCATATAGAGATCGACTGTCACTTAGTACGTGAGAAGATTCAGATGGGAATGGTGCAAACAGCTTACATACGAACCTCGAATCAACCTGCAGATTTGTTCACCAAACCACTAAGCTCGGCACAATTTGAGGTCTTACTTGGCAAGTTGAGTATCATTGACATCCACACTCCAACTTGAGGGGGAGTGTTAAAATGCATGAAATAAACATGTTGGAACAATGTGTTGGATGACTAGTGAAGTTAGGCTAGTCAACTTTCTTTGTGTAAGTTAGGCAAGTTAGGCAAGTTAGGCAAGTGTTAGGCAAGTTAGGCAAGTTAGGCTTATGTCCTCTTTCTTTCCCTATATATAAGTTTCATCTTGTAATTGTTAGAAGTATCAAATACATATTGAAATTCAATAACATCTTTTGTTTCCACTGGTCGTATGATCAGTTAATCATTGTAATGTTAATTTCGAAATGTATTTAAGCAAATACTGCCCCAAAATCAGTGAAAATAAATAGTTTTTCATACCACCTGCACATTGCTACTGATTAACTGCAATCAAGCTATTTTTTATTTCGGAAAGAGTTTATTTTACAATTTGCAAACAATACCGACAAAAGTGTACACTATATATTGAACTAATGGTACTTCTCTTTCAAATATCGAAAATGATTCTATATTTTTAAGTTCGAATCACCGCAAGCGCATTGGGCGTGGACAAAAAAAAGATGAAAGTGAGCACAAAAAGGAGAAATTTTTTCTTGTGGCCGTAACACGAGGTGTACAGTATGTGTTGTTATATAAGTGGTAGGAAATGTTATTTTTTATATTATTACTTTTTTAACACAAAAATCTTACCACTTATATAGAGACACGTGGTGTACCACCTCGCATTCCCGTCACATTGAAAAATCTCTCCACAAAAAGGAGCATTGCCCCCAAACATTTGCCCTAGAGATGGATTCGACTATACCTCTTCTTGGCTTCACTGTACAAAATAACTCCAAGGACAGTGAGTGCATAACCCGCCATCCCCATGAATGAAACTGGATTTTTAAATATCAAAACTGAAACCACCACAGCAACTGCCCCTTTTGCATTCCCCAGCACCTGTTTTTAAGAAAGACCAATTATATAGTCAAAATTAAAAACCCCATCTCTCGGAATGAAGAAATAGCTTACATGCAAATATAAGACGTAAAAATAACAGTATCTCAAATCAATAACGCGATACTAAGTGGCCAAGTTAAGGCATAACGGCGTCACATGATAGGTTTAAGATACCGCCACCTTGACAATTTTGTTTGAGTGTAACTTTCTCCCGTCTTGTGCAGAAGGAGATTACTAAAATATGCCATTGTGTGAACAAAATTATTACCTGAAGGGTCAAAGCGCTTGTATGCTTGGTGACCAAGAAATGGGTCAAGTTAACAAAATAAGCCATTGAAGAATTGAAGAACAGGTACCAAATAATTTTGATATCTTTTCGAGCAAGTTCGATTGTGAATCCGACCGCATTTTTCTCCATCAACAGTGTTGCAGGAAGTAAGAACGCCACGGCTAATGGCGCCATGTACAACAGCAGGTTCATAGAGTCCAGTTTTTCCCTGGAAAACAAAAAAGTATGAATCGTTAAGTCTAGTCCTTGACTTGTGTGCTACAAAAACAATTGAGACAGCAAAAATGAATCGAAGAAAAAGTCACCCGTCAGAGGAAAGCAAAATTTCTTGAAGAACCGATTTGAA